TCTCACTTAGGTCTGAGGGCACAGGCCCATGGGTGGAGCCCTCACCAGGAACCCCACCCTTCTCTACCCAGCACTTCCCTGCCCCACCTCCCATATCAGAAGTGGATGGATTTGAGAGACAGGAAGTAAAACTAACAGGACTTGGTGATAGATTGGACATGTAAGGTGAGGCAGAAAGAGACGTTGTGCTAGAGCAAGTGGATGGGTGGTGGTGCTATTTAGTAAAACGGGCTGGAGATAGCCTAGGTTTGTGGGGGAAGATTTAATGATTCCATCATTGTTAAAATTGAGGGGGCTTTGAGGTGCCCAGGAGCAGTTGCCAAATAGATAATTGGATGTGTGGTCCAGAGCTCTAGGGGGTTTGGATTGGAGGCATAAACTGGGGAGCAAATGGTCTAAAGGTGGTAATCTCAGTTGTGAAAGTATCTGCCACCTCCCAGGGAAGGAACAGAGGAGGAAAAGAGGAGGTCCTAGGAGGCGGCTTGAGAGTGGCCATCATTTAATGACTTGGTAGAGAAAAATAAATACACTTCACAGTGTCAGTCCCAGATGCCCAGAGAAGAGAGTGAGTCAAGAATCAGGAAGCACTAAATTGTGTCAGATGCTCCTGAGAGATTACATAAGATGATGAAAGAAAGTTTGTTGGATGTAGAGCAATGGTCGTTGTTGGTCTTAGTGAGGGTGGTTTGGGTGGTTTGCTGGGGCCAAAGGCCATACGGGAATGGGTTGAAGAGTGAGAGGTGAAGAAATGGAGGTGGAGAGTGTAGATAACCTCGTAGGAGACTGGACAGTGAAGGGAGGCGAGCCACACAGTGGAACCTGGGGAAGGGTGTGAGGAAGTTTCACAATCAGAGGGACGTGTGCACATTTCAGTGTCAGGAGTCCAGCGGAGAGGAGTGGGATATCCACGAAGGAGCAGGACTGCTGCTGAGGTGGGAGGCAGTGGCCCTAGAGAAGGGGGCAACACTGTCCTCCACCTTGCGGAGGAAGGAGGAGGGAAGAGGTGTGAGCCTGGTGGGTGGCGAGGGGTGGCAGTGGGGAGTGGTGCACTGGAGAAGTTCCTGCTGGGAGTAAGAAGAGACTACACCTGGGAGGGAGTTCTGAGGCTTGAGGAGAGTGGAGAAGTTTGAAATTGTGGTAATTATTATTAAAATAATGATTCTTAGAGAATCTAAGTGGATACTCAGTTTTCCAAGAAAAGTAACATTATGATTGAAATACTCCTGACTTGTATTAGATTCCTGGGATTGTCAAAACCAAGTACCACAAACTGGGTGGCTCACAATGACAGAAGTTTATTCATTCCCTCCTAATCTGGAGCCACAAGTCCAAAATGCTGTAGAGGAGATCCTTCCCCGCCTCTTCCAGCTTCTAGTAGTTGCTGGTAGCCCTTGGCATTCCTTGACTCACCCTCTAATCTCTACCTCCATCTTCACATGGCCTTCTCTCCTATGTGTCAGTCTCCAAATTTTGTAAGGATCCCAGTCATTGAATTAGGGACCACCATATTCCAGTATGACCTCATCTTAACTTGACTACATCTGCAAAGAGCCTATTTCCAAATAAGTTCTCATTCACAGGTTCCAGGTAGACACGAATTTTGGGGGACACTGTTCAACTTAGTACATTACTAAGCCATGAAACTGTGCTAATGCATTTTAGAAGTACTTATAGAATTAAAACAAAAATATTTTTAACTAATGTTGAAGGATTCCAAGTGCCTCACACTCACAGAGTCACATACTCCTGGCAGCTAATGTAGTCTCTAGTGTCTCCATGGTCTCCATGTTACAGATGAGGAAGTGGAGGCTGGGAATAGCTGAATGACCTGCCCAGGATGAGATCCTGGCAGAGCCAGCACCTGAGCCCGGACATTCTGACTTCAGAGACCACACTAGGCTCTATCCCTGCCTTTCTCCAGTGGCTACTGGATTTATCAGATAAACAAACTAATCAACTAGTTATCCACCTCAGGAACTACCTCTTCCTGCCAACATTCTTTGTTAATATATGTTTTCTGCATACAGCTTTTTATGCTTTTTATACATTCAGAATATCTGCAGCTTCATACAGGCAGCCCACTGTGTGGGAACAGAAGCCTGCTGCTTGTCCATGTGGGATGGCAAAATATAGCTCTCCCTTTTCCAGTAACATCTGGGCTTGGCTTTCTTTCCCCAGGTCCACAGCGTCCAATTCATGGAGTTCTTGGAAGTGGAGAACCAGGGTAACTCCTACAGCACGAAAGCCAGCTGTATCCACACCCAGGACCAGCAAAGGGTGCAAGTCACGTATGAGGAAGCCCTGAGTGATCTGTAGGAACTAGAGGCAGTGTTCCTGCTTGTGGCCAGCCATTACACTGAGAAAGAAAAACGTGAGAAGTCAGATTAAAAAAAAAAATCAACTGCCCAAATAAACAAAAAACACTAAGGGCTCCTTTTTAATGTTCTCCATCCCAAAATATAAACACATATCCAATAGTATCTGAAAATTCAATAAGCACACACACCCTCACCCCTAAAATACATTCAGTTTAGAAGAGCTACAGTTCTGTTTCCAGCTCAAGCCCCGCTTCTGATAGAGATGGTGACTACTCTTTCAGGGCTGGGTTGTAATTCTTGCTGTGGTTCAGACTCTGCTTGTTGACCAGGGGCATTTCTTTTCTTTCTTTCTTCTTCTTCTTTTTTTCTTTTTTTTTTTTTTTTGGCAGCAGGAAGTTTCCTTTATAATGGCGAATTTGATGATACACAGTTCCAGAGGAGGGCCTCAGTCACTGGGCCACAGGAGGCAGCTGGAGCAGGGCTGAGAGGATGACACACTCCAGGGCTCATGTCACACTGATACGTGAGCCAGGAATGACCACCCATGTACTCCTAAAGTTCAACCCACCCAGAAGTTCAGCCAAGAATTGTGCTTTTAATTCTTCACATTTAGCCACTGAAGATCAAATCCACCATGATGACAGGATTTCAGTACAATAGGCTCTTTCCAGTCATGACAGACAGAGATGTCCAGGCTCTTAACAAGAAACAAAAGTTCCTTTGAATTCTCTTGCAAGGACTGAAGAGATAAATGTTTTCTTTGTGATCTGTTGAAATGTTTATGTAGACTTTAAAAAAACAACTAACAGTCCATTCTGTGCTGTTTCCCTGGCAGGTTTTTCATGATCTGCCCTTTGATAGCTAGAGGGGTTGTGTATCAGGGAACAAGGAATTAGGACACTTTAAGCAATAAGAATCCTAGTGCAACACTCAGAAGTAGATCGTGGGCCCAAGGGGGCTGGAAAGGTGGGTTCAATTGAGGAGCAGGGTGTGGCCTTCTGGGAAAGCCTAGGGGAGACAGGGACGTCAAGGAGCAGGGCACGCCCAGTTCCTTCCTTGCTCTCCTGAGGTACAAGAGACAGCACGGCCCCTGCATTTTCACCTCTCAGGGCTGAAGACCCGACTTCTGACCCTTCACCCACTCTGGTGACCTGCACGCTAAGTTGGGTAGTCTTTGACTAAAACAGGCTTAAGCCAAGAATTGGGATTCGACTCCCAGGGGCATTTCTGCATCACCCACTGGGTTCAGGACCCCAAGGGAAGGAAAGTAAGCAAGTGAAACAAATGACTTTTCTTTCTAAGTGCGGACCTTGAGGAAACTGCATTTAGCAGCAGAGACAGCCCTGGGTTCCTATTAGGAAACCACCAAGATGCAAGAACATCTGGCCAGGAAAATGCAGACAAGCCCCAGAGGAAGGAATCGTTACTCAGGGTAATCAAGTAACCCATAACCTGTATTTTGTCTTCCTTTTGGCATCACTCAAATTGATCCAATTTTAGAAATGGATGAGGTAAGAATATTCTTTTGGGATACTATGACAGCATTGGAATTACATTTGCAAAGAGCTTAGAATTTCTAGACACATTGCAATACCTAAAGGGAAACTTAATGAGGGTTTGTGCTATTTTGTAATATGTGTAGACTGTAATTAAAGAAAGTTCACACCGATGTTGTTACAAAATGCTGCTCAAAGAAAGTCTGACAACTAACTTTTCAGATCCCAGACAGAATTAATTTAATGTAGCATTGGGCTCTTTGTCCTATCTTTGCCATTGGTATCTGAATTATAGTACACAATGATGGCATCCAACATTGCAGGTATTTACTTTCAGCTCTTAGCTCTTATTTTTACTGGTTATCCTACATACTAATGCATCATTTTGTCCATATTAATTTATAATACCATGCAAGTATTTCTAGCTGCTTAGAATTTAATTGGATTGAGATACTTAGTCAGTAGTCATTTAACCACATGGGCATCGTCAGTTGAACTGGTAAATATATGGTCATCTATTGTGAAATGATTTCCCAACTGTTGTTAGGGAAGTTCTTGATCATCTTTCTGTTGCTTAGTACCCATGTGATAATTATTTAACTGAAATTTCAGCACATGAAAATATCTTATCTTTGTATATTTAATTCTGAAGTAGAATACTTAAAAATATAAAGCAATAATAATGCCGGTAGTGAAAAATAACAATAAAGTAAAAAAAAAATTCAGCTGAATAATGAAAATGACCTTCATTTATTTAAGTTAGTAATTAACGTAATTAAGGAATATCTTGGAAAGGTCTCTGAAAATTTTTGACTTGGCTAACAATCATGGAAATACCAAGTCAAAGTGAGTTTGTTGTGAAGCCACCAGGGATTTGTTTTTAGAGAAGGAGAAATGTATGCTTTGCCTTTAAATTGTGGGTTTGAAGACATTTTAGCATAGATTACTTGTTAACTAAATTTTGATTCTATTTCTAAGATTAGTCTTTAAAACTAAATTTAAAAAATAATAACAAAAACTCCTATTGACTTAGAAGTCAACAAGTATGAACTCAGTGTTCATCCCAGGGACTGGTTCAGTATTTCTATTTCTGAGATGGAGCTGATAATCCAAGGGTCACATTTCTAATTGGAACAGGTTCCTTGGGAAGACCATTTCTAAATGTTCTCACCCTCTTTTCTACCAGGTCACAAAGTGGGCACCCAGCCAAAGAGTGGTCAGGACTGGGCATGGGCCCATGCGGGTGTGGCCAGATTTGCTGTGCTGTATGACATGTGGACTCGGGAAGCAGCTCTTCTGGAAAACAAATACCAGGTATTTTTGCCTAAGGGACAAAACATCTGCTAAAAAGTCATTCTTACAAAATCCAGTCATTTTTCTTTTCTTTTCTTTGTAAAACCCAGTTGGACTTTTAGAAAAGCTCTCAATCAAGAGAATAATTATTTTATTTAAATAATCTCAGCTAATTATAAGGATATAAAAAATTTTATTTTCTTTACTGAGTTTCTTCATCACAAAAAACAAAATGTGAAAGATAATTTTTTATCTTACAGGTATAATTTGTTAGAGGGCTATATAATTCCTTCTTATAATATGTATGCTTTTAGTGAGAATGGATGATGATTTCATTCATGCTCATTGTGCAGTCACAGGGACAATGCTCAGTTTGCTAATCACAGACAAACTGACCTGATCATGGCCTTTAGAAGTGTATGCCACATATGGGTAGGTGAAAGAAACCGGACAGAGTGCTGAGTGTGATGTTATGAGGGTGAGTTTAAAGCAATGAAACAGCAAATTACTAAATCATCACTGTATAATCAATGGTTCACATCCCAAGAAAGAATGAAACACTGCAGGGTTACTGCTCTTCATTTGTGCCCTTAGCATGGATTATCAGCCCTTCTAATAATCACCGATTGTTAGGTGTTTACTTACCAAACATTAAGTATTTACTCTGCCAGGGACTGTTCCAGCCATTCAGGGACGTATAGATAACTAAGATCTGTATCTTTAAGGAATTTATCATCTATAAAATTGATTCAATCTCCAAGCAAAAATTATAACCTGATTACTAACTGCTTATAATTGAGTACATTCATGAGTAATGGGGACTCAGCAGAGAGAGAGAGAGATTTGTCCTGGGGGAGGGGGAGCACTGTTGGGGTACAAGAAATGCTAGAAAGTCTTTCCAATGGAATAGATATTTAAACTTGATACTAAAAAATTAGTAAGATGTTGTGTGGGCCGGGCACAGTGGCTCATGCCTATAATCCCAGCACTTTGGGAGGCTGAGGTGGTCAGAAGTTCAAGACCAATCTGGCTAACTTAGTGAAACCCAGTTTCTACAAATATACAACAAATTAGCTGGGTGAGGTCATGTGTGCCTGTAATCCTAGCTACTCAGGAGGCTGAGGCAGGAGAATTGCATGAACCTGGGAGGCGGAGGTTGCAGTGAGCCAGGACTGCACCATTGCACTCCAGCCTGGGAGACAGTGTGAGACTCCGTCTCACAAAAAAAGAAAAGATGTCTGGCAGGGAAGAAAAGATTCTTAAGCAGACGAAACAGCATTAGAATGTCAGGGGAAGTGAATGGGAAGGACCATTTTGGGGGATTTTATTTTGAGAAACAATAATTAAGAAAAAACAATTTGTAAGAAACAAATCTTACCTTCTTGGAGGATGGTAGGAAGACTGCTGTGGCTGGGGATGTAAAGGCATGAGGGGTGGCAACAAGCCACACATGTGTTTTGGGTGAGGCCTGTAAAGGACCTGCTAATCATAGTATTTTAGAGTTTAACTTACAAACAAAGAAGAGTCATTGGTGAATTTCTATAGAGAGAAATATAATCACAGCTGTGTTTTTAACAGCTATCCTGGTGTAAGTGAAACAATGGATTGGAATAGAGAGCCCCTGAGAAAAAAAAGGGCAGTTATTGCAACAGTGGCCTGAAACGTTAGGAGGGGCATACAGTGGCGATAGAAGAATAGAAAGGCAGAGAGGTGGCGAGAGAGGAAGGAGGAACAGACCTGAGAATACTTTGCTGAAGTGGAAATGGCAGGATTCGAAGACTGGATCTGGTAGTTGGAGTGAGAGAGTAAATGTGGAATTAAAACAACTTCCTGAGGGTTAGGGAGGAGGCTATTAACTGAAACTGAATGCAGGAGGAGGAAGAATGTCTTCACAGGGGAAAATAACATAGGCCCTAGGACAAGGCATTTGAGGGGGTTTGCTGAAACTCAGGTGTGGATGTTTCATGGGGAGCTATAGATTTGAAGCTCAGGAACAGTTATGAGCTGAGGTATGAATGTGGAGGTTGAACCACAATGATGAATCAAAACAACTGGGAAAAGATAGAGATGTCTGAAATGCAGCCCTAAGTAATATACCTAATTTTTTTTTTTTTTTTTTTTTTTTTTTTTGAGATAGATTCTGACTCTGTCATTTAGGCTGGAGTGCAATGGCACAATCACAGCTCACTGCAACCTCTGCTTCCCAGGTTCAGGCAATTCTCATGCCTTAGCCTCCCAAGTAGCTGGGATTACAAGCACATGCCACCATGCCCAGCTAATGTTTTGTATTTTTAGTAGAGAAGGGGTTTTGCCATGTTGGCCAGGCTGGTCTTGAACTCCTGACTTCAAGTGATCCACCAATCCTTCCAAAGTGCTGGGATTACAGGCATGAGCCACCGCACCTGGCCCCTGAGTAATATACCTACATTTAAGGGGCAGGTCACGAAACAAGAAGGAGTAAAACTAAATAGGCCAGAGAAACAAGGAAGAAATAGTATTGTGAGAACCAACAGAAAAATGAGTTTTAATTAGGAGGGGATGGTTACTAGTGTGGAGTTCTGTGAAATGTCAAGAAGGAAACTCCTAAAAACCAAGCAGATTGGTCAGGTAGTCACTGGCATTGTAGGACTCTTTCAGAAGCAGGGGTAGGGGGGTGGGGGTGGAAACCAGGTTATAGTGCACTAGGATGTGGTCAGAAGATGGGGAAATGGAAACGTTTTCTTTGAATTGTTTTTTTAGAATAAATGGTTCACCATTTCATCTACTCTCTGGTTGCTCTGTTACTCCTAGAGATGTAAGTCACCTGCTCTTTGGAAAACAACTGGCTGGGTTGAAATAGTGCAAGCCTTGGACTTTGAAAAAAATGTTCCTTTTTTCAATGGGAACTGGCCTCTACAGGATTTGTCTGGAGCCTTAATCTGCCAATTAGAACCTTAACCAAGTGAGTGATTTAGATGCACAGTGTAGTAACTGGAAAGGTTGTATGAAATGTAACTAAGACCGGAGCCCTAAACTCCACAAGTGTATCTGTCCAGGCATGAATTTGAAACAGCACCCTGCCCCTTTCTGTACTCTCCCCACATTCCCTTTCAATGCCTCTGGGCCTCCTGTGGAGACCCCTGCAGGCCCAGTAGGACTCAATGACAATAGAAGAGGAGGAAGGCAGAGAAGACTGAAAAACAAACCAATTTCTCCACACTTCAGCCTAGGATTCATTCTGTGCTAAGGTGTCAGATCTGTCCACTAGTTCCTCCTATGGCAAATGAAACAATTTTGACTTAAAAACATTTGGTGAAAATATCTTCCTCATTTCTATTCCGAGAATAAATTCCCTATAGAAGCTATCAGTGCCAAAAGTGTAAAATACGGCCAAGTCAGAACTTTTGTCAAAAGAGCCTATATTTAATGGATAAGCCAGATTTCTATCTAAAGTACAATTGACTTCCCCCAGTGCTATTTCTACAGCCAAGTTTCCTCAGCTGTTTTTGATTGTTAAATATTTTGATATCACTAGAGTTAAGAATTGCTTGAACATATTGTGTTCTTTTAAATCCTTAAAATAACATATTATGTATGAAGGCTTATAAAATTAGAGCTGGTATTAACTTAGGTAGATCAAGGGATTCTTAGAGAAGTCAGGTATTAGCTGTACCAGCTCCTAAGTGACACTGTACCATCTGCTAAGTCTTCCTGCAGCTACCGAAGGACACATATACTGGATAAAAAGATTATTCCTTTGAAAAGCCAAAAAGAAAATGTCCTGTGACAAGTTGGGTCTAGCAAAGATTTTGTTTTGTGCTTTTATTTAACCTAAAATACTATTTTAGAAGTTTTTTAAATCCCTGAAGTAAAAAAGAATTGAAGTAAAAAGAATATAAGCCCAGTAAGGTTTGAGATTATTTATTTTGTCTGTTTTCCCATTTTCTTCAATATTTTATGCTTACCATCAGCGTGCGCCACATATTATCTTGCCTGAGAGTTGGCCCTTGACACACACAGGTGACATTTGACAGACTGGGAAGATGTCTTAGACAAATACCAGCTCAGAGCTGAAATGGAAATGGGCCAGTTAGCACATAGATTGTAAATAGAACCCATGAGGCAAAAAGATCATGGCCCCACCCCTGTTGGGAAAGAATTCATAATAAAATTATGCAGTGGTTTGAGACTCTCTCGAGGTTGAGCACAAAGCTTGGAGAAACTTCATCAATTTAAAAAGAGAGCCACTGTTTCCTTCTCCACAGCTAAGTTTACCAGATAAATTAGTGCAATATTTTGGACATGCTTATACAAAAAAAGTACTTATGTGAGATTCAAATTTGACTTAATGTTCAATATTTTTATTTGCTAAGTCTGACAGCCCTAACAACAATAAAATGGAAATTTAGTGTGGGCCTCTGCAATCTGGTATCATCAGGTTGGAATCACCATCAAGAACCCTTCCCCCACTCCCAATTCCCCACACACTCCCCCTTCTAAACAACCAAACAGTTGGACTCTTTGTACAAAAGCAGGTCAAGGTAGTATAAACATGATAAACCAGCTCCTGGGATTGCCCTGGCCCAGTAAAAAGGTTCAAGTGAGTCCAGAATGAGTTAGGGAAGTAATTGTTTGTTTCCTAATCTTCACATGGGGCTACTGAGGGACACGCTTCTTATCCCATCCAGTCATTCTTCCTTCATTTCTGTGTTGTCTTCTGCCGTGTAATAATTGAGTGTTATAGAGCAGAGGTTGGTGAATGGAACAAGGAAACTGAGATCACCCAGCTGGCTTCATTTTCCCTGGGGCTCATTTAAAGGCAAGACGGTCTCCAGCTTTCCTCACTTTGCGCTCTTGATGTGTGAGTTTCCAACTTGTGGAGCGTCTCTGTGACCTGAGCTTTTAGTTTCCTTTGGTGTTTTCCTTTTCACACTAAGGTTTATCCAAGGTCTCTTAGACCCATGTTTCCCAAAGGGCATCCTACAATACCAGGTGCTAAAGAAAGTGCTTGAGGCTCTTCCTCCTTGAGGCTTAGCATTGGGCCTCCATAATAAAGTATCTCTTAATAAAGTAGTATTTGATTCTTATTGTGTTATTCATTCTCAAGGGTTCAACTCTTTTGTGTAGAAGAGGAAAAACTTTTTTCTCTGCCTTCTTAGATTCAATGCTTGGGCCCTGAAAATGAAACTGACAAAAGACAGATTAACAGGAAAAGGGATTTATTATGTCCTGTCAGAGCTACTTATCTTTCCCTAGGGTCCCAGTTGGGAATTCCAGCCCAGTGATCTCTGAAGAGCTTTTCCTGATTAGCATCATGACTAATCACACACAAATAGAATTTACACACAGAACAGAAATTCTTTAAGCTCACAGACAAATGTAAAAGCAAGATAAGAGGCATCTCTCTGAATTCCTACACTAAGAACCCTCTTGAGCAGTTAATATCTGGAAGCTTTTCCAGGTTTTTAGAAAAGACTTGGCTGGGTGCAGTGGCTCTCTTGTAATCCCAGCACTTTGGGCGGCAGAGGTGGGCGGATCCTGAGGTCAGGAGATTGAGACCATCCTGGCCAATATGGTGAAATCTGATCTCTACTAAAATACAAAATCTTAGCTGGGCGTGGTGGCTGGGGACTCGCTTGAACCTGGGAGGCAGAAGTTGCAGTAAGCCAAGATGGCATCACTGCCCTCCAGCCTGATGACAGAGCAAGACTCTGTCTCAAAAAAAAAAAAAAAAAAGGAAAGAAAGAAAAAAGAAAAGACTTGCAAACCCCACTAAAATAAATACTCCACTAGGGTTTTGCACACTTGATGTCTTGGAGAGTTCTGTTTACAAGGCCCATGCTAGAGGAGTTCAGGGATAAATCACTTTGAATATAGGAAGCACATGTACCTTCAGCCTTCCATTCTACCACCCAGGTCATTTTTGCATAGGTGAAATGTGAGCAACTATTAAAGAGGAAGAGTCAGAAGCAGGGCTCAGACCGTAGAAGTCAGGTGGCCACCTACCTAGTTTTGGTGATGGAATAAAATGGAAGAAGGAGAATGAGTTTTGGAGATAAATACATTTGACTAAGCATTTGAATGTGTTGTCTCATTGGAACCAATAATTATTATATATTATAATTACATAACCCCCTTTTTATTTATAGAGACCAGAGGAAGAGGGGATGGAAGCAGGAACTCGAACTCAAGTCCAGTTCTGGCTGCAAAGCATGTGTTCTTTCCCTTGCCCATTGTACCTCTGTCTGCAGGTTTACTAGCTGCACTGCATTGTATTGGTACTACATCTGCCCACAGTATGGTGGGGCCTTCCCTCTCTTTGCTAGGCCCCAGGGCTGCCTCTGCTGATCCCTGACACTACCAACCTTATTTGCAGCTTCTTGACAGTTACTTTGAAGCCTACCAGCACACATTGGACACTGAGGAGCTGTTTGCCTTAGCACAAGTGATGATGGACATCACATACCAGTGCCTGAGGTTTGATCTCAGCTACACCTATTTCATTAAGGCCTACTGGGAGGAATTCATCTGCCTGAGGCTTCACCTGCAGTTAGTGAGAGGCATCCTCAACCAGCACGTGAGTATAGTTGGGTTTTAAAATACTACATGCGAGAAGAGGATGGAAAACACCAGCCAGAAATGAAAATCATGTTTTCCTTCCACTGCAGATCTGGAATTTGTGTTTTCTAGGCCAGCATGTACAGCATACTTATTAGTAAGCTCATTTGCATTGTTGAAATCCAGTATAACTATGGTCTTAAAGAGAGGTTTCCACCCCTAATCAGAGTTAGTAGTTCACAAGGAATTGATGACCTTAGTTTTCATTAGATCACAAAGGTTATTCGTAGTGAAAGAACAACTTACAATACATCTTTTTGACATTAATATATTATCCTTTTTAAGTGTGATTATTTTTAGGACTCTGAAAGAAATCATCATATTGTATTTCCTCTAGGGAAAAGCTAATGGCTTGAAGCAAGCAAAAGACAAAGGATTGTTGCCACCTGGTTGAAATTTTTTCCATGTAGTCAATTATTTAACAGAAAGATTTCTCTTTTGCTTCTTAAAATTGTCTGAAGTCAGTTGCCTTTACTTCCCTTAGCTGTCTGGCTCAGACTGAGAGATTAGCATGTCTCATGGCAAAAGAATCTTCAAAACAATGAATGTCTGGATGAAAATTAGTCAAATGGTGAAGAGACACAAAGGGACAAAATCCTTCTCATGTCAAGGCACATAACTCATGCCCATGGGAAAGTTTAACTTCTCAATTTTAATGTTTATGCTACATTTTTAGATAGAGCGTCCGCGCGAGTATGTCCAGAGGCTTTGGCAAGAGGATCATCTGGACAATAGCAATACCTTTGGACTTCCCCTTAATATAGTTTGCAAACAACTTATTTCCATCAACAATAGCCAGTAAGTTGATGTTGTCTTTAGACATTTTACATGCAATCTTCTAGATTAATTAAGGATATAGTGTTAAATCTCAGTACTACTCCATAAAGCACTTCTCAAGTGCTTGGAGGAAGTGAGGGAAGTAAGTATAAAGGCCACGAAAGAGGAATTCCCTTGTATATTGAATCTCTGTTTGCTTTGTGAGTAATAAAGAATGGAGGCTAAAATGTAAACATACGCGACTGGGTAAAGAATCACCATTGTCTTAAAAAGGCCTGGGGGAAAAGCAGTTGTTCTTGAAATGCTGTCAGGATTTACCCGGACTTACCACATGAGCCCACATATATAAAACTTGGATTGCTTAAAAGTTTCTCAAAAAGGAATTTCTTTACGTGTCACTAAAGAGGTTTCTGCAGATTTGCCTTGTGACTCTCACAAGGAGTTCAATTTAAGGAACTGAATTAAATTTCTTGTGGTCACTCAGAGAGGATACACACTTTGTCACCCCCTAGATAGGCAGCATAACCATTTCCCTCATTCCCTTGTAACCTTTGAGGGTAGAGGAAACTGGGAAGCAGGTGACAAGCGCCAGGTTGATCTGTGTGGCTCTAGATCACAATCTCTCAATTGCTTCCAAATGGGTGGAGAAATTGTCTACTTCCTTTCAACATCCAACAAATATTTGTTCAGCACACAGATGTGAACAACACAGGCATGGTTTTGTGTTCCTGTGAGGTATACAGTCCAGCAGTAAAGGCAGACTTTATGTAAGAAATTGCCGTAATGGGTTATGGTATTATCTTCGGGACAGACAGGGTGTCCTGGGAGCAAATAGCTGCGATTCTCATTTCTTGAGAAAGAGCCCCGGGCTCAAAACTCTCCATTTTCTCCATAGATCTTCCACTATTTCTTCTCTGTAATAAATGTGAGACACCAGCTGTGTGTGTGCAGCTTGCTATGGCAAACATCTACTGTTCAGGAAATGGTTTTTGGCAGAACAGGCTAGGGTTATATGGACACGAAAACTGTCAGAATAGTCTCAAAAGCAAGTATTATATGCTTGATGAGATTCCTTTCCAGACTTGGGGATTTTTTTTTTAAAGATTCAGGACTAAGAAGGATCGCATTTACATCAATGTAAAGGGAAATGTCATGTCCTTCAGTTCTGTGTGGGTATAGAAGGACCCTTGACTTGTGCTGTACTCTTTATTTCTAAAGAAATAACCCACTGATGAGCTTTATTTATTTATTTTTGCTTCTGGCCTCAACCATTCATGAAATATAACACCTTACAGTCAATCTGAATGATTCCAGCAGTTATGTACAGAATTTAAAAATTGTCCATTCACATTTTGGGAATCTTTTGTGAATGGACAATTTTTAAATTCTTTATTCTTTAAAGGATAAAGCATAAAAAATCCTTAAATTCTTTATCCTTTAAAGGATAAAGATTCAGATGAAAAATTGAAACTTAACCATGGAAATTATTTTTTTATGTAGTCACTTTTGAGCTATTTTGTTTTCATATATTTGACTAATATTACTGAAATATTGACAGTTTTGCTATACGGTGTTATTATTATTGAGCTTCTAGAAAATACACCTATGTCTTTCTGTTTTTAAAGGTTCACATTAAAGCAAAGAACATGTCATGCAACCCAGCAGGTTCCCATACTCTGAGGTCTCTCTGAGCTCTCAGTTTTTTATAATGCACTGGACATATAGGAGCTGTTTTATTGGTCTTTAAAAATATAAAATTCAGGCGGGGCATGGTGGCTCACGCCCGTAATCCCAGCACTTTGGGAGGCTGAGGTGGGTGGATCATGAAGTCAGGAGATCAAGACCATCCTTGCCAACATGATGAAACCTCATCTCTACTAAAAATACAAAAATTAGCTGGACATGGTGGTGCGTGCCTGTAATCCCAGCTACTTGGGAGGTTGAGGCAGGAGAATCGCTTGAACTAGGGAGTCAGAGGTTTCAGTGAGCTGAGGTTGCACCACTGTACTCCAGCCTCGCGAGAGAGTGAGACTCTGTCTCAAAAATAAATAAATAATAAAATTCAAATATCTTCAGAAACAGATTAAGTTTGTTGTGTAAAATTGTCATTCATAGGCCAGGCGCAGTGGCTCACGCCTGTAATCCCAGCACTTTGGAAGGCCGAGGTGGGTGGATCACAAGGTCAAGAGATCGAGACCATCCTGTTCAACATGGTGAAACCCCGTCTCTGCTAAAAATACAAAAAATTAGCTGGGCATGGTGGCACGTGCCTGTAATCCTCAGGAGGCTGAGGCAGGAGAATTGCCTGAACCCAGGAGGCGGAGGCTACGGTGAGCCGAGATCGCGCCATTGCACTCCAGCCTGGGTAACAAGAGGGAAACTCCGTCTCAAAAAAAAAAAAAAAATTATCATTCGTTGTTCTTTTCTTCAAGCCCGCCTTTGAAAAATGTTTATCTGCTGGAGTTCCACCCTTCCCTCAGCCTAGCAACGCTTATCCCCAGAGCCCTAGAGCATCTCCTCCAAGAGGTCTACCATACCTGCAAACCTGCATCAGCCAGTGGCCTTGCCTCCCTGGAGCGACATGTTCTGCAGCTGGCCCTGGACCTGTGGTTCACCCCAGCCAAGCCTCAGCCCTGGTACAGTGCACAGCTCCAGAAAGATGTAAGCTCTTTCTGAAGGGGGTAGTTGGGTCCTTGGCAAGGAGAATGTTTTTTTCCAGATGTTACTGTTTAGATTTGTTTTTCTATCTGGCTCTATTCCCCCATTATTTGGCTAGAGATAGATCTCAGTCATAGGCCTTGCCAACATTTTAATGTGATTTTTGGGGGGATGGGGTCAAAGTTTCTCATTTATAAAGATGCTGCTACAATTAAAATTACAAGAGTGATACACATGGGTATGCGGGAAATGTTTTCTGGTTTATTATTTATATTTTAACAAATACTTTTTAATTAAAAATTACGTATTTTCTTTCCACTAAGACACTTCCTAAATGTGTTCTTTTTGTCAAGATCTGATAGAAAACAGAAAGCGTTGAGTGAGGAGTCAGGGATCTGAATTCAAGTTCAGTTCTGCCATTAACTTGCTGTGTGTCTCTGAGCATGACTCTTAGCCTCTCTGACCTCACTTTCCTTTTTTGTAAGATTATGTTTGTGTACTTGGCAGGGGAGGTAGGTGGAGGTCAGCTTGATGATCTCTGAAGCCCCTTTCAGTACTACTGCTCCATGGTTCAAATTGTGGGTTGATAATTTGCATGGTGTTTGTAGTTGGATTTTAATACTTTTCGTTTTCTGTTAAGGCTGTCAAGGTTGAGCCTGGGTTTCCAATTGGACCTCATTCTGTGTGAGTACTTGCTGTATGACAAAGAAACTTTCAAGGCCCCCCGACTGCCAAAAATGTCTGCTCCATAGGTCTGCCTTGGCCTCCTATCCCTTCCTGCCTAAAGTAAAAATTGATTTTATTTTACAGTGATCAAAATAATATAAAATTACAGATAATGTTAGCAAAAGCAGAAAGAACAAAATTGAATTTAAACATCACCAATCAAATGCATTCATAATTTTTCTGAATTTAAGTATTCTTAATATGTGTGTTTGACATAGCTATAATCATATTTTTTGTCCATTGTTATTTCTTCCTTTTCTCAGTTAACATTATACTACATATTTTTAAGTAAGGCTACCTAGTCTTTAGACTTACCTTTATGACCACATAATTCCCATATCTGATGAATAAAAACCTCTCTAGTCATTTCCCTACTGATGGAAATTCAAGTGGTTTCTAATTTTTCATTATTATGAAAAATTCTAACAGATATGTCCTTTTACTTACAGATTTTTCCATATTTCAAATTGATTCCTTTTGATAGGTTCTTGGAAGCAGAATTACTAAAATAAAATTTAAATATTTGGATACATATTGGCAGATTGCTTTCCAAAGAGTTGTGCCAATTTATAATGGCACTCACATATTCTAAGAGTACCAGTTCTGCTATGCTGGGTAGTATTAGGCAAAAGCATGCAATGTATGTGGTATATACACATATACATAAAAGGTGGTATTGTGCTGTTAATTTGCATTTTCTTACTTTTATTGAGCTTTAATAGTCTTTCAAATGTTTTGTTACTAATTATACTTTTTGTGAATTTTGTTCTTTTCCTTTATTTATTTATCTGTTGGAATCCTAACATTAGTCCTATCTATTTACATGAGCTTGTCTTAAATAAGAACCGTAACCTTTCTTTTTGTCTATAATTTTCTGCAAATATTTCCACATTTGTCCCCCCATTTCTTTTTTTTTTGAGACAGGGTCTTGCTCTGTTGCCCAAGATGGAGTGCAATGACACAATCACAGCTCACTGCAATTTCAGTTTCCCCAGCTCAAGCTATCTGCCTACCTCAGCCACCCGGTACTCTAGGTGCACACCATCATGCCCAGCTAATTTTTTTTGTATTTTTAGTAGGGAGGAGGTTTCACCATGTTGTCCAAGCTAGTATCCAACTTCTGGGCTCAAGCGATCCACCCAGCTTGGCTCCCTAAACTGCTGGGATTATAGGCAGGAGCCACTATGCCCAGCCTCTCCATTTGTCTTTCCATTTTTTAAACATAAATTTATTTTCATATAGTCAAATCTTTCAGTCATTTTCTTTATGATTTCTTCTATCCTAAATTCAGGAAAAAAAATCTTCCTCCAGATGTTTCATATTTGTCTTATTTTATTCTGATTTTTAAGTGCTTGGTTTTATTTTTAAAATATTTAACTCTGGTTGGGTGTGAGGGCTTGTGCATGTAATCCCAGCACTTTCGGAGGCTGAGGCGGGTGGATCACTTGAAGCCAGGAGTTTGAGACCAGCCTGGCCAATATGGCGAAACCCCGTCTCTATTAAAAACACAAAATTAGCCAGGCATGGTGGCAGACGCCTGTAATTCCAGCTACTTGGGAGGCTGAGGCAGGAGAATCACTTGAACCTAGAAGGCAGAGGTTACGGTGAGCTGAGATCACAACACTGCACTCTAGCCTGCATTGCAGAGCAAGATTCCATTTCAAAATAAATACATAAATAAATAAAAATAAACAAATAATAAAAATATTTAACTCTTTTAATATTTCACTGGAGAGAGAGAGAAAAAGAGAGTGTATGTGTGCATGCATCTATGTGTCGTATGTGAGGTATGCGTCAAAACTGAATTTTTTCTTAAATTACGAGCTATTTATTCTACTACCACCAATTGGTGATTCTTTTCACATTGTCTTATGATACCACATTTAAAAGAACGTATTTGAAATTCTTTTTTTTTTTTTTTTTTTTGAGATGGAGTCTCACCCTGTATCCCAGGCTGGGGTGCAGTGGTGCAATCTCAGCTCACTGCAACCTCTGCCTCCCAGGTCCCAGTTCAAGTAATTCTCCTGCCTCAGCCTCCCAAGTAGCTGGGATTACAGGCATGCGCCAACATGCCCAGCTAATTTTTGTATTTTTAGTAGGGACAGGGTTTCACCATGTAGGCCGGGCTGCTCTTGAACTCCTGACCTTGTGATCCACCCGCCTCGGCCTCCCAAAGTACTGGAATTACAGGAGTGAGCCACCGCACACAGCCTTGAAATTCTTTTATAAATTACAGTGAATATCTGGGATACCTGTCTAGTCTCCCATTGCTGCCACACAGTTTTACTGTTTTTGAAATCTCTTCAAATTTGGAGCTACAAGTGATAAATACTCGGACTAATATGTTATATTAGGTCAGAAAATGCTCTCAGAAGACATGCAGGAATTTATTTAATAGGTCTCTTTGTTACCACTTTGGAAAACGTTGAGAGCCTGGAAATTGCATCCTTGAGTAGCCCAGTCCTTTAGTAGATACATGGATAGATAAAGGACACTGTATCCTGGGGAGCCAAACCAGAGAGGCAGATGGGGGTCCCAGACTGGGTGGTTGCTGGGAGTGGTATATTCGAAGACAGCAAAGATGTTAGAGCAGAGGCGCCCACCAAGGCAGGAGGGTATTAAAGGACAATGTGGTTACTTCACAAATCACCCAGGGCCAGCTCTGAGTGAAGGAATGCTGGAAAGGCAGTTTGGTGTACTGTAAAATAGCTGAACTTGGAGTTAGGAAGCCCAAGTTTACTCTTGGTGTGGCTGTGTGACCTTGGACAGTTTCATGTTGCTTCAGATCCCTCACTGACAAAGGGGAATAATGATATCTGTGACGCCTACTTCATGGGGCTCTTGCAAAAATAAAAACGAGTTAATAGATGTAAAAATGCTTCATAATTTTGAAACCGTCATTAGAGAGGTTTATAAAAAAATTGTTATTGGCCACCAAAATACTTTTTAAAATCAAGGACTTCTATTTCTATTTAGCTTATCTTTAGCATAGACGAGTATCCCCATAGTGAATATCTAGGGATTTGTTTATTTAGACTCAAGACATTTATAATAATGATAACAACAGCAGATAGTTTTGCATATATTAACCCATTTAACCCTCTCAAGAGCCCTATTAGGAAGTTAGTATCTACTTTCATACAATAAGGACTGTTATTATCCTTATCACCACTTTATAGATGAGAAAATTGAGAGACAGCAAAATCGAGTACATTGCCAAAATCTCACAGCTTCTAAGTGGCAAAGTTAGGACTTGAGCATAGGAAATCTGGATCCAGAGTTTGTGCCACTGACAGTATATTTTTTTAAATGTGAAATTTATTCTTCTATGTTTTAAAAGATATTTTGTTTTCTTTCAGCTGTTTTCAGCTAAAGGTATGGGAGATCCCTTTCTCGTCGGGGAGATAGGCCTGTTGGCACTCAACTCTGCAGCAGATGAGGACAGAAACAAGGCCAAGACTCTCATGTGCTACTCTTGGAGATGTTTTCCAAGCTTCTCAAGCTCTTGACCTTCTGTGACTGGCTAATAGAAATGAGCCTGGAGAGTGAACGGGTCAGAGGACCCCGGTGGAATATAAAGTTTGCAGCAAAACATGGGGGGAAAGAGGCCATGAGACTCCCTGCCTGCAAGCCTGCCCCTTCTCTGCTCCCAGAGCAGCCAGAGTGAGTTTTCTAATTGGCTAACATGATCACCTTGCTCCCTTGTTCCTTCTCTCTTCCAAGCCTCCCCAAATGCCTCTCTGATCACTCAACTAGGCTAAGCCCTCCTACTGACACAATTGAGTTTCCCCTTCATTTGGCACATTTCCTTTTAATTCATTGCTTAATATTGGTTTATTGACTTTTCTGCTAGCATAAGCTCCCCAAATGCAAAAGCCCTATCCACGTTCTTTACTGTGACATCTCATTACCTGCTATGGGGCCTGAGCCACACCAGGCACTCAGGGAATACTGGTTGAATTTGCTCCTGAATGTAATGAAGTTGACTAGAAAGGGCCTAAAGATGGAAGAGAGATGAGTCACTGACAGCATCCAGGTCAGACAGAGGTATGGAGGGCTCAGCAGGTAGGAGAGAGACATTAGTGAGTTATGTTTCAGATATGAGGGTGAGATGATGGTAAGACATCAAGTGGACATGTTCTACAAGCAGGAAAAATGTGTAGCTAGAGGGTTTGTTGTAAACATGTGTGAGTGCTGTTATGTTCTGGTCCCCACAAAAGGCCCTGTAGACATAGAGGGTCCAGTCATCTACCAACAACCATTATCAAGGGCCTGCTGTGGCCCAGGTCTTTACTGGGGACTTCATGTGTATCATTTCATTTAATTGTTGGAATATTCTTATGAGGTAGGTTACAAACATTTTATCAGCAAGGAAATAGAGGCACAGTCTGTAGGAATTGGGTATGGAAAAAAAATAAAAAAAAAAAAAGAAATAGAGGCTCAGAAAAGTTAATTTGCCTAAGAGCATATAACTAGAAAGTAGTGAAGGCAGAATTTAAACTCTTAGACAAGATATTATTAACCTCACTCCATAATTTATGATCCACGGTAGCAGGAAGCTCATAATGTAAAAATTGCCATGATACATGGTAACAATGATATTCTACTGATATGTACAAAATATTAGGAGAGTACACAAAAGAGAGTATTTCATTCTTCTTAAGTGGCCAGGGAAAGCTTCATAGAAGAGAGGCTGCTATGGGTTGATTTATGTCCCCCCAAAATTCATATGTTCAATGCCTGATTCCCAGTACCTCTGAATCTGGTTTTACTTGGAGATAGGTCTTTACAGAGGTAATAGAGTTAAACAGAAGTTATTAGAGTAGGCCTTAATCCAATATGACTGGTGTCTTATAAGAAGAGGAAATTTGGGGCCAGGCACGGTGGCTCACACGTGTAATCCCAGCACTTTGGGAGGCAGAGGCAGGCAGATCACCTGAGATCAGGAGTTCCAGACCAGCCTGACCAACATCTCTACTAAAAAGCCATCTCTACTAAAAATACAAAATTAGCTGGAGGTGGTGGTACATGCCTGTAATCCCAGCTACTCAGGAGGACAAGGCAGGAGAATTGCTTGAACCCAGGAGGCAGAAGTTGCAATAAGCCAATATCATGCCATTGTACTCCAGCCTGGCTAACAAGAGTGAAACTGTCTTAAAAAAAAAAGGAGAAGATGGCTGATCGCTAACATCTTGGGATTGCAGCTCCCAGCGAAAGCTCAGACTACTAGAGGATGCCACACTTTCAGACAAATTTTGGTCGCTCACGGAGCAGAAGATTCCCAGTGGAGGAGCTCCATGGGTCGCCAGCGTGACTCTTGTGGCCGGCGCAGCAGTTTCGCTGGCACTTTGGCGAGGCAGCTCTTGGTGCAGAGTAAACGGGACTGGTTCCCCTTCTGACCAAGGTTTGGAGTTCCGGGAAGGCAGAGTCGCCTATTACGGACTCAAGAAGGAAGCCAGACTGGAGATTCCCGGGCGGAAAAGCACCATCAGTCTTAACGCCACTGTTCTGGCCGGTGCAGTGGGTTGCTCATATTTCGGCCCTGGGAATTAACAACCTGGACGTCCACTCAGAGACCTAATTTGAAAGTTGGTAATTACAAAGATGACAGGTGGATAAATTTACAATGATGGGAAGAAACCAGCATAAAAAGGCTGAGAATATTCAAAATCAGAACGCCTCTCCCTCTAAAGAGGATCACAGTTCCTCATGAACAAGGGAACAAGACTTGATGGAGAACGAGAGCATCCCATTAACAGAATTCAGGTTTCCAAAGATGGATAATAAGAAACTTCTGTGAGTTAAAAGAACATGTTGCAGCCCAATGTAAAGAAACTAAGAACTCTGAAAAAAGGTTTGACGAAATCCTAATGAGAATAGACAACTTAGAGAGGAATATAAATGAATTAATGGAACTGAAGAATACAGTGCAGGAATTCCGAGAAGTTGTTAAACACTCGAATTGTTCAAGCAGAAGAAAGGATATCAGAGGTAGAAGTCCAACTTAATGAAATAAAACGAGAAGACAAGATTAGAGAAAAAAGGATAAAAAGGAATGAGCAAAGTCTCCAAGAAATGTGGGACTATGTGAAAAGACCAAATTTACATTTGATAGGTGTACCTGAATGCGACGGAGAGAATGAATCCAAGCTGGAAAATATTCTTCAGGATATTATTTAGGAAAATTTTCCTAACCTAGCAAAGCAGGACAATATTCAACCCCAGGTAATACAGAGAACATCACAAAGATATTCCTCAAGAAGAGCAACCCCAAGGCACATAATCGTTAGATTCACCAGGGTTGAAACTAAGGAGAGGATACTAAGGGCAGCCAGAGAGAAAGGTCAGGTTAATTACAAAGGGAAGCCTATCAGACTTACAGCAGATCTCTCAGCAGAAACTCTACAAGCCAGAAGAGAGTGGGGGCCAATATTCAACATCCTTAAAGAACAGAACTTTCAGCCCAGAATTTCATATCCAGCCAAACTAAGCTTCACAACTGAAGGAAAAATAAAATCTTTTATGAACAAGCAAGTACTCAGAGATTTTATTACCACCAGGCCTGCTTTACAAGAGCTTCTGAAAGAGGCATTACACACAGAAAGAAACAACCGGTATTAGCCTTTCTAAAAATATACCAAAAAGTAACGAGCATCAACATAAAGAAGAATTTACATCAACGAATGGATCAAACAGCCAGTTAACATCAAATGGCAGTAACCCTAAATTTAAATTGACTACATCCCCCAATTAAAAGATGCAGCCAAAACCCAACGGCATGTTACATCCAGACCCATTTCACTTGCAAGGATACACAAAGACTCAAAACAAAGGGATGGAGAAAGATTTACCAACCAAATGGAGAGCAAAAATAAATAAATAAATAAAAAGCAGGAGTTGCAATTCTCGTATCTGATAAAATAGATCTTAAAGTAACAAAGATATAGTGGTAAAAGGATCAATGCATCAAGAATAGCTAATGATCCTAACACCCAGATACATAGAGACTTAGACTCAATGAGACAGAAAATTAATAAGGATATCAAGGACTCGAACTCAGATCCGGAACAAGTAAACTTAATAAATATTTATAGAGCTCTCCACTTCAAATATACAAAATATACATTCTTGTCAATACCACATCACACCTACTAATAGGTTTAAATGAAACATTGATTGGCCATTATTAATACCCCTTTTTTTTTTTAGAATAAAGCAACATTTCCCTTCTCTCTCCCTCTTTTTCTTCCTCTTTCTTCCTCTCCTTCACTCCTTTTTTTTCTTTCCTTCTCTCAAAAAAAGAAAAAAAAGAAATCAACTTGTAGACCTCTAGATCCATGTCGGCAATGTCTCTCTCATTGCTCGATTTCCTTCCTTCCCTTCTCTCCCTCCCTCCCTCCCTCTCTTCCTTCGTCCCTCCCTTCCTCCTTTCCTCCCCTGCTGCCTTCCTCCCTTAAAAAAAAAAAAGGAGAGGAAATTTGGACACAGACACACGCAGAGGGAAACCAAGTGAAGGCACAGGGAGAAGACGGCCATCAGCAAGCCAAGGAGAGAGAACAGGACCAGATTCCTTCCTGAGGGCCCTAGGGAGGAACCAATCCTGTCCACACCTTGATTTCAGACTTCTGTCCTTTAGAACTATGAGACAATAAATTTCTGTTATTTAATATTTTGTGCGTTTCTGGGGTACTTTTTTACACCAGCCCTAGAAAACTAATACACGTGCCAAGAACTCAGCCTTCATGTGCCAACTTCTCAAGATGGAGAAATGTCTTAGAAGTGGGATGCTGGGGGACATGCGCCAGTGGCTTAGGTCTGTAATCACAGCACTTTGGAATGCCAAGATGGAGGATCACCTGAGGCCAGGCATTTGACACCAGCGTGGGCAACATAGCAAGACCCCATTTCTACAAATTTTTTTACAAAATCAGTTGGGCCTGGTGGTGCACGCCTGTCCCAGCTACTTGGGAAGCTGAGGAGGGAGAATTGTTTGAGCCCAGGAGTTTGAGACTGCAGTGAGCTATGACTGCACCACTGCACTCCAGCCTGGGCAATAAAGCAAGACCCCATATCTCTAAAAATAGAAGAAGAAGAAGAAGAAGGAAGAAGAAAAAAAGAAGCAGAAGAAGGAGGAAGAGGAGAGGAAGAAGAGGTGGAGGAAGAGGAGGAGCAGGAGGAGGAGGAGGAGGAGGAGGAAGAGAGTGTTAAGGATGGAGGAAAGCATCATAAACACGAAAGGCTGAGATGCCAAAGGAACAGCTAACTGGAGTCATGTGTGAGTCCCACAGACTTGGGACTGGAGCTCAGAGTTAAGTCAGGACACAGACAAGGGTCACAGTTTGTTACATGAAGGAGTCGTCTTAGGGTGTGAATCTGAACAGACTCCCCTCCCCAAGTAAGCGGTTGTGGTAGATGAGAAGAGAACCAGGTTCAGAACCTCAGGAAACACCAGCATTTGAAGATAAGCAAGAGGAGAAGCCAGGGAAGCCTGAGAGTAATCATGAGGTGGGAACATGGAGGTTCTAGATCCACGAGAGCAAAGATGACCCTTGAGGCCAACTGTGAGGAGCCCTGAGAGAAGATGGTGAATGCTGCATTTCAGCAACATTGGTGACCTCATGAGGGCTCTGGGGACAGAAGTCAGCTTGTGGAAGATGAGAGGTGAGTAAACACCCAAGCACTCCTCCTACTTTAACTGCTTTCTCCCGTCTGTAACTGTCACAGCAAGTGCAGAACAGAAGACCTCTGTGACTCACTTCAAATAGACCCGGGCTCTTCTTGAACTTTTACTTTGGTTCTTGTTCAGGTGTCTTGGTTTTATTACCCACTTTCTTTTTAGCGGAAAATGCTAACATACATCCTTGGCTCTTTTTTTTCTTTTAGGCTGTATAAATAATTGGCATGGGAGATGGGGTTTGAAGAGTTCCGTTTGTATCTGAGGCCTGTTCACTTTAAATTTGCATCACACAAGGACAAGGTGGACCAGCCACCTCCTGTCTTTATAACCTCTCTGCTAGTAGAAAGGTGAGCTTTGAGAGGGTTGAGGTGAAAATAACGTAATGGATGAGTGAAGAGCCAGTGAAAAATAATTTCTGTCACCATTCGACAGGCAAGAGCAATCACATTTCTAAGTTCTCTCTTATGTTCTATCTGCCATGAAACCAGTTTTTTTCTTCTTTCTTTTTTTTATAAGAGGGAAAAGTAAGATCTCACTTAAGGGGGCAAATGCATTTAAAAACACCAAGTAACTGAGAAATGAAGGAACCAGGTTGTCCGAGAACACAGATGAGATGAAATCACAGGCTCAGCCACTTTGCAGATAGAGTATGTTGCTTGCAGGTAGAAAAGGGTGTCAGGGTGGGTCTGATGGGGTGAGAGCCATGGATCAGAAGCCCAGGGCTTATTTCTCACTTTCCTTCAGACCAGGAAGATGTCACTTAAGTTTTCAGAGCAGCTGTTTCTTGAAAGGGTAACACAAGCTACAAATATAACATGCTGGCAATATCTCAGGCAGCCTTCTTTGTCAGCTTGTGACAGAAGCCAACACAAACCAATGAAAATTCTCTCTCATACCCCATAGGTCCAACCCATTGCTTAAAAGAAAACACCCTGATTAGAAATAGATCATGAGTCTATTCAGTCAGGGGAAGGAATCTTTCTTTTATCCTCTCACAATCAACCTTTGATGAGTGGGGAGGAGAAACTTCTGTCTCCCTCTTCTTTCCTTCTCTGCTATCTGCTCTTCCCCCTCAGGATCCCAGCTCTATCCCTGGAGATTCCTGGTATGGACTCCATGCCAAGGAAGAAAAAGGTGACTCCAAGGAGGCAGCTGGTCCCTGTGTTTTGCTAATGCAGATCCCTGCTCAAATTAGAACTCATGTTAGTATCCTAAATGACTTCTCAGAATAAGAGGGGAATGAGGGGATTAGGATGATAGAATACAATATCCCAGGATTTCTCAAACCTTAGCACTGCTAAACTTTTGGGCTGAAGAAATCTTTGTTGTGGGGGACTGTCCCGTGTGTCTTAGATTGATTAGCAATATTCCTGACTTCTACCCTCTAGATGCCAGTGGTATCCCAGTACCCCACCCACACACACTGTTCCACAATCAAAGATGTCCCCAGACATTGCCAAATATCTCCTGGGTGCAAAACCTCCCCCTGTGCTATCCTGTCACACTAGCTAAACCAAAAACAGAATTTACTGTAAGGATACAGAGATATTCACAGACGCCAAGGCAGGAAGTATGATCAGGCCTTGGGTGATGCTAGATCGCCATTTGGCAAAAAAAAAAAACCAAAAAAACAAAAAAAGTACAAACGTCTGGAGCCAAGCTATTCTCTGGTTTTTAAGGGCCTCCTTGGTTGGTGTTTTATATTACTGTGAAAATAGGGCGCCACATTTTTGTTCAGTCAGAATCCACCAATCAGCACAAACTGCCTGAATACCCTGTGGTTTGGCCAATGCTCTGTGGTCTGATTGGTTCTCCTGGTGATGACCTAGAGATGCCGCAAGATAAGGGAGCCTTCTACGTTACCGGGGGAAGGCTTATGCATCCAAAGAACTTGTGTGTTGAGTTCGTATTTATTTTATGTATGTTAATTCCTTAAAGTTGCCACTTTGGAGTGCCATTGTAACAACAACATATATAGTGATCTCTTAGTGTCTGTGGGGGATCAGTTCCAAAATCCCCTCAGTTACCAAAATCCTTTTGCATATAACCTATGCACTCCCACCCTTAAGCTTTAAATCATCTTTAGGTTACTTATAATTGTATCTAATACAATTTAAATGCTATATAAATAGTGATTATACTGTATTTTTGTATCATTTTAATTTTTGTATTGTTACTTTTTGTTGTTTTATTTTTTCAAATATTTTTATTTGCAATTGGTTGAATCCATGGATGCAGAACCCATAGATGTGGAAGGTCAACTGTATCAAATATGAATATAGTGACTTTCATTTTAATAAGCACATTCATGTATATTATCCCTCTTAATATTTGCCATAACCCTATAAGACCAATGACACCCCCTTTACAGATGAAGAAAGATTGGTAGATATTAAATTACTTGACAGAGTCTCATAGTTATGGACAAAGTACTGAGTCTCAAGGTGGAAACATGGCTGCAAAGAATATTTAGATAGCTGTTGGAACCATAGGAGAGAGAGAGAATTGGACAACATTAGGGGGCGTTCAAAGGAGTGAGTCAGTGAGGGATCCTGAATAGGTGTGGTCAAGTAGGTGAGAGGAGCCAGGTGTGGTGCTGCATGTCTGTAGTCCCAGCTACTCAGGAGGCTGAGGTGGGAGGATTGCTTGAGCTCAGGAGTTCAAGGCTGCAGTGAGCTATGATTGCACCAGTGCCCTTCAGCCTGGATGACAGAGTAAGATTTTGACTCCCCCCCGCCAAAAAAAATTCACTTGGTACACCTTTGATGCCCAGTTAACTATATATGTACTTCAAATAAATAAAAAAATTTTGCTTTTTTAAAAAAAGAAGATAAGAGGAAAAATGAGAGAGAGTAGTGTAATGGTGATCAAGAAAAATAATTTCCAACGCTATGGGGTGGTCACCATAATCAAACTGTAGTGAGATCAAGTCCAAAGAAGACAGAAAAGATCCCAGAGCCCTTATAGCTTTCAGTGGAAATATTAAGTCTTGTATAAAATTTGCATTTGCTATTACTGACATTTCAGATCTGATGACATGACATCCTGTTCATGTGTCTCTTGATCAGTTGCATATCATGTAAAACTTCATATTTTTTGTTGCAGATATTCTCCTACTGCTCTTGTCTTAGCCGTCTCTGAGGTGGATGATAACTAAATTGGCAAATTTAGTTTTTACACAAAGGAAGCCATTCTTAAGGTAAATTATTTATTTTTTAAAAAGCAAATGAAAGTAAAATAAAGCCATTTGCTCACATATTTCTTTAAGAGGACATAATACTTTATATAAATTTAGCTTCCATATATAAGAAAAGCTTCCAATTTCATAAATAATAATAAAGTTTGCTTAGTCCATTTTCTCTTTCGGTAACAAAATACCTGAGACTGGGTAATTTGTAAAGGATAGAAGTTTATTTGACCCATGATTCTGGTGTCTGGGAAGTCCAAGGGCATGGTGGCAGCTTCTGGGCAAGGGCTTTGGCACTGCATCATAACATGGCAGAAAAGCAGAAGGTCAAGTGATTACATGCAACAGAGACTGCAGGAGCAAGCCAAGCTTGCTTTTGTAATATCCTGCTATCTTGAGAAAAAATCCACTCCCGCGATCATGGCATTAATCCATTAAGAGGGCTCTAATCTCATGAACCAATCACCTCCCAACACATGAACTTTTAGGGGACATATTCAAACCACAGTGATGGCCTTGCCTTATTTGATGTGCACATTAGCCTGGTTTGAACCATAGAGACTGCAACGCCACTTATAATAACTTCTGTTAGATACTAAAAAAGAAGTTCACATGTAGTGAACAATCTTTGCATAAGGTTTTTAAAATATTCACTTGTTATTGAAGTTTTATCTGGTCTTTCTAAACCTGGTGCTATTTTTTCATCGCCACTTGGATTTCTTTGCTTCTATATGTGTATTTTTGAAACGTTGATCTAATCTTGGCTCACAGGAACCTGCCACTGAGCACATGTTTGCTAGTTCATCAGAGCCTATT